AAGCTCCAGTGGGAGCTGGCGAGTCCTGCCCCGCCCCCCCACCAAGACGCAGACGCAGTAGTTCCGGGTGGGGGCTCAGGAGCCTGTTTTTGTTTTTTTTTTATTCTTTAATTGTGGAAAAGATGAAAGGCTTACAAGAGTAGAGTGGGGCCCAGCTGTCAGGGCTTGTCAGTTAGGAAATGTCTACAGCCTTTGGAGACGGGCCTGCCCCTCGCCCTCAGGAATAACCGGGAGAAAAAACGTGTTGACGTACATTTCAGGTCAAGGACTTGTAAGTTTCTTGCCCCCCTCCCCCCACCAGATGAACAGAGTTGTTGCTGCGTTTATGGCACACTGTCAGCCTGTGCCTTCTTTCAGCTGGGCATCTCACCACCCAGAGGTCCCTGATTGACACCCTCGGACCCGACAAGTAGAAAAAAGGAAATGAACCCTGAGACCCACCAAACAGCTCCGAACTATCAACTCGGGTTCCTCTCTGCCCCACTTCCTCCCCAACTCCACAAGAGTTTGAAGGAAATGTCAGCTATCCCAGCATGGCATCCATAAATACCCCAGCATTCCCTCTACAAGATAAAGGCTCCTTTTAAAAACAATCACCCCACCTGAAGTATAATACAAATCCTTAATATCATTAACTATCAAGGGACTAGTCAAACTTCCCCAAGTATCTCACAAATGATTCAAACTATGCATTTTGTTGATTTTCTAGTGAAGTATCATTTGCATGCAGAAAATCTGCATTTGTAACAAGTTTCCTCAGTTTTTCAGATGTAGGTAGTCCAAGGGTCAAGGGTAGGGTGACCATTTATCCCCCTCCCCAGGACACTCTGAGAGTGAGAGAGCCAAGTAGACAGGAAGCATGTAATACGATCACCCTGGCTCAGACCCCACCTGGAGAAGCCCCGCCCCCAGGAGAAAGCAACCTGCGGCCTGATTGAAGCCTGGGAGCTGGGCAGTTGCAGTGCCAAGCCAAGTGTGATGCCAAGCTGCCTGGCCCACTTACAGGGAGAGACTGGACAGTGGGTGAGCACAGCCTCCCAGCCACAGGCTCTCTGGGCTTCAAAGACTCAGCCTCACACAGGGCCCCCAAGAAGGGAACCAGCACTGTGCACCGTTTTATAGAATATTCCAGAATACCAGCTCTGAATGTGATTTCTGTAAATCAGGTTCTATGTTTTCATTAATTCCACTATAAACTCAAGACAGAGCCCTAAGGGGGAAAAAACTCCAACCCCATGACATACTAAATTTCAGGTCCATTCCACTGATATTCATTGGCCTATCTGCTAGATGCCAGGCACTTTTCTATGCATTCATGGTATAGCAGTAAACGAAGCAATCCCTGATCTCAAGATACTTCCTAGATCTGCTTCTGAAAGCATGGCAAACAGAATATGAACTTGTGGATCTCACACACCTGCCTCCCTCTCTACAAATAAAGGATTACAGGCTACTTACCCTGCGCCTTGTCCAAGCCAAGGTCCACCTCAGGCAGTTGTTTGAGAGCTGAGTTCAGTCCCAAGCTTCCCTGAGGAAACCTTTTCCCCCAGAGACATACCAGAAATTCCAGTTTTTAAATTCTTCTACATACAGCACTGCCCCAGAAGGTACCGCCAGACACAGAAGGCTATCTACATTTACATTTCAATAAATTTAAATACACGTTTTTAAAAATTCAGCTTTTCTGAGCCATATTTCAAGCACTCGGTGGCCACTTGTGGCTAGTGGCTACCATATTGGACGGTACAGACATGGTGCGTTTTCATCACTGTGGAAAGCTCTAGTGGGCCGTGCCACTCCACAATGTCTTACTCTCCAACAGCCTGTTATATGACACGTCCTTCAACTTTATTTCGACACTCAGGGGGCTTCCACTAGGGGCCCACACTGATGTCGTGATGAAGCCACACAACAAAATGTAAACCAAAGCGTGCCCGAGCAGTGGAAAGACCATAACAATGGGTCACTAGCAGGGAATAATCCACCGGTTGCCTTTGGCTCCCTTGCTGGTCAAAGTTGCCTTGGACAAGGCTTTAACCTCTGTGAGCCTCGTTTTTCCTCATCTGTAAAATGACAAAGCTGGGCTGGAGGCCTCTTAAGGGGTCCTTCCGGGTCTGACATCCTAGAACTCCGAGTACAACAAGGAAAAATGTAATACACTAACTAAACGTTCATTAATGTTACTCAAAATACACCAAAGGAAAATTCTCTTTCTAAGACTTGAAGTGCTGTCCAGAACCTGCATCTGTAGGGCTGGATCAAAAGGAGGGGACAGCGCCCCACAGTGGCCTTGCCATCCAAAGTTCAGGTTCTCAAAGATAAAGGGTTCCCTTTGTGAACTCAACATTTATAAAGGCTTTAATCCTCACAGCAACCCTGAGACAGGCACTACTGTTATCTCTGATTTGCAGGTAAGGAAACTGAGGCCCAGCGAGGTTAAGGGACATGCCTAAAGCTACACATTTGCAAGATGCAGAGCTGGGATTTGAACCCAGGGTGTCAGCCTCCTGAGCCTGCGTCCCATTTTTCAGACAAAAAGAGCTTCCATTCACTTACAATGCACCAGTCAATCTGCCAACCACTAGATGCGCTTTCTTTTCTTTAACACTCGGAACAACCCATGAGAAAATGGGGGCACAGCAGGGTTAGGCAGCCAAGTGGCAGAGGCTGAATTCGCACCCAGGCCTGGGACTACGAAGCTGGCTCTATCCACTGCCCTCCCCAGACTTTAGAGGTCCAATCCCTTCAACATCTCCTTTGGAACCCAAAGCATGTGACCACTCTTAATAGTCCAGGATGGTGGAGGTTTGGGTATCCCCTCTCCCTGATGAACTGTGAAATGCTCCCTACGGTGGGGACCAAATTTTCCAGGTCGGTGTCCCTCCCTCAGGGCACTTTCCCCCTTGGCATCCAGTGAAACTTGTTAAATTCATGGGTTCCGCTGTCCTAGGCCAGGAGGCTCCTCTTTCAACACAGGGTTTCGGCTCAGATATCCTTAAAGGGCTCCCCACACTTGTGTGTCCACTCTTTCCCGTGTCCTGGGGTTTCACTAGGCCAAGCTTTGTGACCACAGCCCTCCCCACTTTGGCAGTCGTGCTGGGCACCTGAGGCTCACCTTGGCCATGTATACTGCCCAAGCATCCCACAGCCAGGGCGGCCACTCAGAGACAATACGCAATTGTGAATATGCAAGTAGCAAGCGGGCAAGAAAAACCCACACACACAGGCTTATGCACACATGGAAGTGTCTAAAGCTATCCAGAAATCTATTAACTGTTAGAAGCTGGGGCTTTTTGATACTTACTTTTTAAATTAAATTTATTGGGGTAACATTGGTTAATAACATTAGGTAAGTTTCAGGTTAGAAGCTGGTTTTTAAAAAGATAATATGTATAGACTAGGTTTTCATCATCCTGATGAAGTAAATAAAAGCCCAGCTTTCCACAAATAGGCTGAAATCGGTATCTTCTTTCTGGGGGGAGTACAGTGGAAAGAACACGGGTCTGGAGACAGAAGACCTGGCAGGAGCTGCCCCTCCGGCTCGTGTGGCTGGATGACCTTACAGAGGCACTGGGTCTGCCGAATTCAATTTCCTCCGGAGTGGTGGAGATCCTTGCCTCCCTCCCAGGAAGTTGGACAAAACAAGTGAGATGAGACAGACACAAGCCCTTTGCAAAGGATGAACCCCAAGGTCACCTAGCCAATTAGAGGCAGAGGCTGATCCAAGGACCTGATTCCAGGCCCATCTGTCTCCAAATATCAGTTACTTGTATTATTTTCGCCCCAGGAACTTGGAGTGGGTGGGGCCAAGACAGCCAAAAACAAAGCGAATGGAGCAAGGCTCCCCCAAAGATTTCCTCTCCCTAGAAAAGTCAAAACTGACCTTGAAGTCAGTAAAGGCTCTGGACTAGGCCAGAAGAGGGGGTGCAGTCAGGGCATCTCACTGATCCAGCACTTACTCTTCCAGAGAGGTGTCAACATCCACAAGAAACTAACCTGGCTTGGAACCAAGGTTAGCGTGATACCTAATGTCCCAATTTGTGGAACCCACCCGAAAACAGGAAGCTGCTGTCACTCTTCGCGGTGCACCAAGTAGGACAGGCCCTGTCGCAGGCCCCCAGCGCCTGCGCGGCCTTCCCAGACTTGCCCTTCCTTAGCTCAAGCTCAAATACCAGCGTGCCTGCTTCAGATTCTGCCCAAGGGAACAAAGGGTAACCTTGAGGCTGCCCTCCATCCTCTGGTCGGAAATGAGCCAGTTCCCGATCTCCCGCTTCCTCTGGGGGCCTCCATCTACCCGGTGCCCGTGGAGAAAGGCAGGGGTGGTCTGCTGAGAACCACCAATTGCCCCCATTGTGTAAGATGCTTCCAGGCTCAATGGACCATTCCCTCCTCTTAGCAGTAAACAGTTGGATGGGAAGGGTATTTTCTATTCTTCCGGTTAATCCTGGTTTCCCCAACAAAACCTAGGTGGTGCACTGAAAGGGACTGTACATCTGCAGCCCCCGCCCACTCGGGGACCCACCGATGGGTTCGCCCGGCTCCGGACGCCGACCAGCGAGCTGGTTACATGCGCCCCACATTTCGGGGGAGCCAGCCGGCTTTCCACCACTACCCACGCAACGACCCTGAATTAGGGGGCTCCGTGGGACCTGGGCTGGAGCTCCAGCGTGCTTTGGCACCGCTGGGGCGGAGCTGGGCGGGGCGCAGGGGGCCGCACTCCGACCCCCGCCCGGAAAGGGCGTCGCGCCGAATCAGTGCGCAAACGGCCTGCGTGACCGCGGCGCCGCCCCAGGGATGCGCCGGAGGCCGGCGAGGATGCGCACGGGAGGCCGCTGGCTCTGCGGCACCCGAGGCGCACCCGGCCGCTGGCGATCCAGAGACGGGTGGCCAGCGGAAGGTGACGGGCCTGGCTTGGGGCGGAGGCGGGGACAGCGCGGAGGGGCAGGCCCGGGCCCTGAGCCGGCGTTCCGGTCGTCCGCCGCGCCGCGCGCCCCTCTTACCGGCAGATCTGAATGGCTGACGGGGTCTCAGCAGCGGGGCCCGACATGCTGGCGGCAGCGGCGGCAGGCAGCTGAAGGAGAGCGCAGGTGTCTGGCGGGCCGGGCGCGGAATGAATGAGCCCGGGCGGCGCCATGGAGGGGGAGGGAAGAGGCGGAGCCATGGCGCTGGCGTGGCGGGCCCTCCGGGCCGGCAGCGAATCAAACGCGGCCTCCTCGCAGGCCCCACCCCTGCCACGCCCCAACCTCTGGTGGCCGCCGGCTCCGCGAGCGTCGGGTTCTGGCAAGGGGGCGCCGCTTCTAGAAGCTTCGGCGGCGGTTGGGCGGCGCCAGCAGGGCGGTCGCGTGGGTCAGCCTGGCCCTGCGCGGTGCGGTTTGTGCGCTGCGTTCCCGCCGCCGGAGCCTGGCTGCTCGCGTCTCGCGTCTCGCGGTGCGCCCACTGGGCGGGAGCGGCCGGACGCGGAGGCCCCGCGGCCGCTGCGCGTCAGAAAGGCCTGCGAGAGTGAGCGTCTCGGTTCTGCCTTCTAGAGTCAGTCCCGAGAGGAAACTGGAGGCGGTTTCCTGTAAACGAGTGTTCGTGGCGGAGCTGGTGTTTCGTGTACTGCGAGAAGGCACGTGGACGCGCAAAACGGGAAGCCAGGAGCTGTTAACCCCGGCAAGTGCCTCTGCAGCAGCAGCTGCACAAAGCTGCCTAGGTGGGCTGGAGAGAAGCAAGGAACCGGGCGGGCTCTGTCTACACGGCCCAAGCTGCAAACACGGCAGAGGCAGCCGGGGACCATAACAGTCCGAATATTATTGTGTCCTGGCTTCTGTAAAAAGAACATGGTGCTCCCGGGTTAACCATTGCAAGATTGCCAGTTGTTTTCGAAGAGGATCGCAATTGGGGGGGGGGGGGGGGGCGGGGGTCGCAGTCCCTTAGCAAAAACATTATTGAGTTATTTTTGCTATAGTACTGATGGTTTTACATAATCTCGCCCCTTGCAATCTCTCACCTTCCCATTTTAGGTCTTGTCTACTTTCTCTTCAAACTACTGGGCCATTTCTATCCCTCTCTTTGAGCAGAACTTCTCAGAGCTGTTGATAGGCACACTCTCGCTCTTCTCTCCTCCCGCTCTGTTTCTAACCCATCTCCTGTCGGTCTCCGCTGCTCCATTATCAAGGTCACTAATTCCTTCCAAATTGCTAAATGCAGCAATCCGTGTCAGAAGTCGTTTCACCTGACCTCTCCACAGCAGACATAACCTCACTCTTCTGGGACCAGTGACTGCCTTCCAAGACACCTCACACTCCTATTTTTCCGGCCACTCTGCTCAGACTGCCGTGCTGGCTCTGCCTCCCCTCCTCCTCCTCCTCGGAACTTTAGAGAAGACCCAATCAGTGCTTGGACTCGAGATCTCATTCTGTCTCATGACTTTAAGTCCCATCTACTCAATAATTGCCGCATAATCTGCAGCCTAGACCTCTCCGCTAAATTTCAAGCTCATGTGGGAGCTTTCTTGCCTAGGCCAGAGCTCACTCAGGTTGTGTAAAAGGCATCAAATGCTCACCGCTTCCTCATAGTCCCCCAGAACTTGTTCCTCCTGCAGCCTTCCCACCTCAGTCACAATCCCTTCCTTCCAATGGCCTAAGCTAACCTAGGAGTCATCCTTGACCCCCACCCCCACCCCTTTCTCTCACATCCCTCATGGAACCCATCAGTAAATCCTGCCAGCTTTACATTTAAAATTAGAATGTGATCACTTCTCCCTGTGGCATTCAAGAATCTGCTCACATCTACCTCCATACGACTGGCTTCACCCACCTATGAACCCCAGTGACCCTGACCTCCCTGATAGTCCTTTAATATGCTCAGACCACCCTTCCCTGGGGACCCACGTGGCCCACTGTTTCACATCCTCAGTTCTTTACTCATCCTATCTAAAATTCCCCAACACTATCCCCTTCCTGGCTTATTTCTCTCTTTAGCACTTAATACTATTTGACATATTTTACCTATTTATTGTGTCTCCACCAACTGGGACATATGTTCCATGCAGGCATTTTTTACTGTATTGTTGTATCCCATACTCCTAGAAGAGTGCATAGCACATAATAGATGCTCAATAAATATTTTATGAATGATTGGATTAGTAGTGGTTTACCAACAGCAATGTATTTAACAACAGCAGATATTTAATTCATTATATTTAATTTGCACACTTTTTGGACTAGAAATATTATCCACAAATTGTTTTAAAAACAAAGATATTATTTAAGGGGCCGGCCGAGTGGCTCAGTTGGTTAAGAGCTCACTCAAGACTGTGAGCTCTGAGCAACAGCAGTTCGATGCCCAGCCTGAGCTGAGCTGCCGCTGAGCTGCCAAAAGGTGGCAGGATGGCTCAGCTAAAAAATAAATAAATAAATAAATAAATAAATATAAAAAAATGAAAACAAAGCTATTATTTAAATACTATCACCTAATATTTATGCAAAGATACTGAAGAAACAGTTGACCCTTTGGAAAAAGGACTAGGGGTAAAGCCTCCTTTACTACTCATATGTTTTGTACAGTTACCATCTACCCATTCATCTATTTTATTATCTTTTCATGTCAATATGGAGTATCTGATATGAAGCAATAGGAACTCTTACACACTGATGTTGGGACTATAAATTGGTACAACCTCTTTGGAAAATAGTTTAAAATAGTTACCAAAATTGAAAATAGCCATACCCTTTACCCAGCAATTTCACTTCTAGGTATTCACCCTATATATTGAGAATGAGTGCCCCCAGATATGCTTCAAAGAGGGTTCATAGTAACACTATAATAACCCCAAACTGGAAATAACTCATGCCCATCAACAGTAGACTGGATCAGTAAATTGTAATATACTCATCAATGGAATACAAATAGCCATGAAAACCAATGAAATTCAATTATACACAACAAGGAAGACTCACAATGAGGAGAAGGAGATCCAAAAGGATACATATAGTATCAAGCCATGCACTAATATTCCATTTGTACTATTATCAAAAGGACGAGATAACAAATGCTGGAGAGGATGTGGAGTTAAAGGAACCCTGGCGCACTGTTGATAGGAATGTAAACAGGTGCAGCCACTATGGAAAGCAGTATGGAGGATCAAGACATTACAAATAGAACTATATGATCCAGCCATCCTACTTCTGGGTATATATCCAAAGGAAACAAGACCATTGTCTCAAAAAGATATCTGTACTCCCATGTTCGTTGCAGCAGTAGATCGAGAAGATGTGAGATACACAGTCGGCCCTCCATATCCGTGGGCTCCTCATCCATGGATACAAAAGACTGACTAAGGCTGAAACCAATTCCCAAAGGATTCAGAGGGACAACTGTATATGTACATACATATAATGGAATATTATTAAGCTTTAAAAAGGAAGGAAATCCTGTCATTTGTGACAACAGGGATGAACCTGGAGGGCATCAGGCTAAGTTAAATAAGCCGGAGAGAGACAAATACCACATCACCATACCACTTATACCGTATTTGGAATCTTTAAAAAAAAAAAAAAAGCCAGACTCATAGAAACCATAGAAAAGTGATTGCCAGCACTAGGGGGTGGGGAGAATAGGGGGAGGTTGATAATAGGGTACAAACTTTCAGCCATAAGATGAATAAGACCTGAGGATCTAATGTATAACATGGTGAATAGTTGATAACACTGCATTGCATAATTGAAATTTTCTAAGGATAAAATGTTAGTTAGGAAAACGTAAGTAGATGGCAAAGCTACAAAGAAAAACATGGAAATGATTATCACAAAAGTCAATATAGGGGAGGCCGAGTGGCTCAGTTGGTTAGAGCATGAGCTTTGAGCAACAGGGTTGCCGGTTCGATTCCCACATGGGCCAGTGAGCTGCGCCCTCTGCAACTATTATAGATTGAAGATGACAAGCTGAGCTGCCAGTGGGGCAGCCGGATGGCTCAGTTGGTTAGAGTGCGTGCTCTTAACAAGAAGGTTGCCAGTTTGACTCCCACATGGGATGGTGGGCTG